AGCAAAACAAAACTATGGCCTATGCTTAATTTTTGAATTAGGGACCCTAATAACATGTAAAAAAATTCAAAATTGTTTTGGACCTTTACACACATTATTTTTTAAGGTAATTTAACAAAGTCTGAGTGGAAATGCACTCCTCACACATGCATATATACGACATTTGCTAAGACATAGCATTTGCACTCAGACTTTATTAAATTACCGAATTTATTAATGTATTTAAAGGTCCAAACAAAATTTTTAAAGTTTTTTACATGTAATTAGGGTCCATATTTCAAAAATTAAACATGAACCACAATTTTTTTTGCTATTTTTAGCCGGCCCTATAAAGACAGTGATAAGAACCTGAGATATCTAAGTCAGTCGTCGAAAGTTGATAAAGGAAAGAGCAATGAACGATAGATTGGCAATGCGGTTGCGGTTGAACAGAACTGAAGGGAGGCAGTGTCGGACAAGATGGCCCCAACCAAGTTTGTGGAGACATAGGAGGGAAGAGCTCTAATAGATATCAACATTTGGTAAGACATAGCCCATAGAACTGCACCTATAGGCTACCACCCTTTGCTTCTTTCGTCAGTCTTTCCAATACTTGCTCTGGTACCAAGTTTACATATTTACTCTTTATATCTTATATGTAACTTTAGTTTCTATATTGTATTAAGTTTCAAATGTTTTATCTTTTTTGTTATACAAAAATATGTTACTCATTTTATCTTTGTTAAACTTATGTTACTCATTTTCAATGTAAAATGTATTTCCTGATAGATCTATTCTAATTAAATTCAATAGAACAAATAAATTTATTTTAGTTCATAATTGAGTGATTTAAAAACTATTCATAAATAATTTCTCGAAGACATCACATACTAACCTCGAGAACAGATTAGCAAAGGGAACTTGGTAAAAAAAAATCTTTACATGCATAAAATTATAATATACAACTTCAAGAAAGCAAGAGACTTTATAATTAAAAAAACTAAGATATCTCAGATTTGAGTATAGCCATCTTCATCGCTAATATCAAACTGTACTTTCATATGATCATATGATAACATGAGCATGATGCCATCTTCAGGCTGCTCTTCTCTTTCACTCACTTTCTGAATAATAAGAAAGTCAAATTGTGACAATATCGAGATGAGAAATTACATCAATATATAGCACCTATGAGCTATCAATGTAAGCTACAAAAAAAGATAAAAAGGAAACTTCATAACTACTTAGTTACATATCTCGAATTTTCCATTCAGTTCATCTGCCAACCCATAGTCGTCCATGCTTAGCTCAACTAGTAGAGAGATGTTCTTTAGCGTAAAAAATATGAGACGAATGAAGATCAAATATTATAGTTATATAATATAGCCCCATTATATATTTAAGCATAAAATATGGGTTGGCTATATTATCTGACCATAAGAATTTGATGTTTCATATTTCATGCTTTTTGCACCAGAGAACATCTCTTCGTTAGCCGAGCTAAACCAAAACTAGGGGTTGGCTCATGACCAGAATGGAATATTCGCCATCTGTAATTGAGTAGTTTACAAAATTTATTTTCTATTTTTCTTTGTAACCTACAAAATAGATCTCATAGAGGTACTATAGCTTGAGGTAATTTTCTAATTTCAAAATGGTTACATTTAAATATTCTTATCATATAATTCTCAGTTATTGTATGTATCCTATGGATGTTTGGATCTATGAATAAATTGTTGTATGTTTCATACAACTAAATGTCCATTAGCATATTGGGATATAAAAACCATAGAATTAGTTATTATCTAACGTAGAAACTGCAAAACTTATCAACTTAAATGAAATATCCAAAAACAAAAATACCTTATCAGGAATCGAAACAAATACATGAATGAAACTAACATATGTAAGGTATGACACTTATATATATAACAAGATCATGTAACTATGTGAATAAGGCAAGAGATTGTTCTTTTTAAAAAAGATTTTTATTAACTATTATAATAATGCATTCACAATCTACCTTTACATATATTGATCCAAAAAATTCAAAAATCAAATTTTTTTGTGAGAAATACCATTATAATTATTTTTACTATGGTCGGAATTTAAGATAAACCCATATAAATACCTAACCACGAAGATGAATTAACATGTTTGTAGATAGAACTTTTTGTTGGCATTAGTAAGTAGGACAAAACGAAAAGTCTGAGATCCGATGTGATCCGAAAAATAGAGTATCTAGAGCTACTAGATCTGAATCTAGGTATTGTGTCTTAAATGTCATAATACCTATATCCGATTCAGATTAAATTTTTAAAAAAATATATCACAAAAATAATTATATTTTTACAAATTACTGAATTTTTAGAATGAACATATAAATCTGTAAAATATTTTTGAACAATCTATTTGACTTTTTCTTATAATATTTTATATTTTAAAATAGATGTTTAAGATATTAATATTTTATCTATTTTTGGTGGATCCGGGGTCGGGATACACATTGATATTGGGAAATCCGGATTCTACTAAGTGTTTCAGAAATACCAGGATCCGGATATCCCAAAAAATTCCTAAATTATATATATCATAAAAAAAAAGTTTATAAAGTCCATTTTTTTGAATTTATAAAAATTCGATTTTTTTGTTGTCTTTTACAGCATGGATCGTCTTAGATTTTTGTTTGCCTCGAGATATACAAGGTTTTCATATTTTATGATACATACAAATAGTGTTAACGCGTTTAAGTTGGTCCATGTTTAAAATTTTCTACGAATCAAAATGTAATGCAATCACCAATTCAATCATCAGTTTTAAGTTTATAGGGACATGGTGTAGATCCAAAAAGTTTCTGTAATTAATTGAAAAAATACTGAAAAATAGAGAGAAACCTTGGATATCGATTGCGCAATGCGATTAGAATGAGCGGAAGAGATCCCATGTTGGTTATGATAGCTTTTCGCATATGGAAGAAGAGAAAAAGGTACCTGCAACAAATACATTAATGAAACTAACATATGTAAGGCATACTATATATCAATAATATCATGTAACTATGTGAATAAGGCAAAAGATTAAAATTCATCAACAAAAAAAAAGGTACTTACATAACTATGTGAATAAGACATACTATATAACAATAATATCATCGTTTGGACAAAACATCTCGTTAGGATCATGAATTCATGACCAACACATCATTTCGGAGTTTACTGATCCGAATCCGGTCGAGCGAATATATGTGGATCCATGTGCTTTTTGGATCCGATGATAGTGATGCATTCTTGACTTGGATAGATGATGAAATGGAAAAGTTTAGAGAGAGTGAGAAGAGACTAGTACTGATTTTGAGATGTACACTAAGAGAGATAAGACAAGGATGTGAATATGTGAGAGAGATGATGAGGTTAACCTAATTAGTTTGTCTTTTTTATTTTTCATTTTCATTAAAATAATTAATTAATTTTTTATTGACTATAACATTTTATATAAATAAATAGAAAGAAATCCATAATTTAATGCATTCCTTATAGGGAAAATGTTTGTCAGCTACACGAAAGACGCCATCACATAGTCACACATGCAGACTTTAAAAATGTTTCGTTAGCTACACGACGTATTGACATTACATACGGACATCCCTGAACTAACATAAGTCATGTTGCAAACACCATAACCATCAAATTCCAGTGATTTGGTTGCTGGAATCCGGCATTGACCGGCGTTGACCGATGTTGACCGGCGTTGACCAAAAATAATTTTTTTAAAATTTTTTTTGATAAAAACAATTTCAACAATTATTACATAATTTTACTTAAAAATATAACAAAATATACCAAAGTTAAATATAACAAAATATACCACAAAAAAAATACAACAAAATTTTGGTATATATTTTTGTAATATAACTAAATATACCACAAAATAGTCCATAAATTTTATTTTGTCTTATATTTATTTATAAAATTTTGGTAATATAACAAAATACACTTTTTTTTTAAAAATCATTTTTTGTGGTATTGAACGTCGAACAACCGAAAAGAAAAAAAATATTATTTTGTGGTAAAAAATGATTTTGAAAAAGAAAATGTAAATTTTGCTATATTACCAAAATTTGATTAACAAAATATACATTTTTCAATTACATATTATATATTTATATTTGGTCTATACTTTCAATTACATATTATATATTTATATCAAAGATAGATTTTGTTTTTTAAAAGAAAACCGACCATTGAATTTATAAAAAAAAATTATTGCTAAAAAGAAAAGGTATATTTTGTTATATGACCAAAATTTTATAAGATAATATAGCACAAAAATATACATTTTTCTTTTGGCAATCATTTTTTTACCAAAAAATAATATTTTTCTTCTCGGTTGTTCGTCGTTGAATACCACAAAAAATAAATTCCAAAAGAAAAATGTATATTTTGTTAATAAAATTGTGGTATATTTAGTTATATTACAAAAATATATACCAAAATTTTGTTGTATTTTTTTTTTGTGGTATATTTTGTTATATTTAACTTTGGTATATTTTGTTATATTTTAAAGTAAAATTATGTAATAATTGTTTTAATTTTTTTATCAAAAAAAATTAAAAAAAAAATTATTTTTTTGAAAATATTTTTGGTCAACGCCGGTCAACATCGGTCAACGCCGGTCAATGCCGGATTCCGGCAACCAAATCACTGGAATTGGATGGTTATGGTGTTTGCAACATGACTTATGTTAGTTCAGGGATGTCCGTATGTAATGTCAATACTTCGTGTAGCTAACGAAACATTTTTAAAGTCTGCATGTGTGACTATGTGATGGCGTCTCTTTCGTGTAGCTGGCAAACATTTTCCCTTCCTTATAATGTACAAATAAAATATGCTTTCTGGTCAAACTAAAAAGAAATAAATTTGCAAAATTTTGGAAACAATATAATTAACAAAATTGAGACATGTGTAAGTCTATCTATTAGAATTTCGACTCATGTTAAATTTTTTAATTTTATTATTTTTATAAAACAGAAAGTATTTTTATATTTTCTAGTTAGCTTTATCGAATTATGGAGCTTCTTTGTTGTACATGGAGTACCAAATAAAAAATATGGAAGTACATATCATCTTCGACTTATAAAAGTTAGTTACCAGAACATGTGTATGTATCAATAACACTAATATAAATATCAAAATCTAATTAGCAGAAGATCTCTTCAAGTTTTATAGATGAACCACTTCACAACCAATATCGACAGATTTCTTCACAGCATCAACCACCAACTGCGTCTTCTTACTAATCTCGGCCCACCTACGATCAGCCTCTAAATCGCCCCGCTTGATTCCTTCGACAAGCCGCGTGAACTCTCTTAGCATCATTGCCTCTTGAGTCTCCGCAGTTCCGCCACAATCCACTGTAACTTTCTCCGGTGTCACGTTCCAACCAATGTGCATGTCCACAAACTTCGCACCACTTGTGTATTCGAACCAAGCTGTATCCTCCTTGTAGGGTATCACATAGTCATTCATTTGAATCGACCCTTTTGATCCTGAACATTCATTTTGATATTTGGTGTTAATACAAAAGATCACTTATATTTTACATAGACATAAGTTTTTACTAATGTTTTGGGATTTCATTTCTTAGGAAATTTAAATAATGTAGCACTAAATCTTCTATAGATTGTTTTATATGATTTTTGGACATTTAAAAGAATAAGAGGAACCATTTTAACCAAATAACTAATTTTTTGAATTGGATTTTGGAATTCGGTTCGATTCGATTCGGCTCGGCTTGATTATATTCCCCTAGACTATTACTATTTCTATTTCAACTTATGGTACAATAAAGACAATTGAAAGAACCTGAGATAGCTAAGTCGGTCGAAAGTTGAGAGAGGAAAGAGCAATGGACAATTGCGGTTGCGGTTGCAGTTGAACCGAACTCAAGAGAGGCAGTGCAGGACAAGATAGTGCCAACCGAGTTTGTGGAGACAGAGGAGGGAAGAGCCCTGACCGATATCGGCATTTGGTAAGACATAGCCCATAAAGCTGCACCTATAGGGTACCACCCAAGCTCTCCTATAGCTCCGGCTAAACCCATAGCTTCTTTAGTCAGTCTTTCTAATACTTGCTCCGGTACCGGAGTAGTCATCGTGCTATACATCTGCAACGCATGTGTCAAAGAATTTGATACTTTAGGGGTAGTGATTAGTGAAACATTTTAGATTAGACTCAATCCTCAAACGTATACTCATGAAATAGATTAATGTAACTTACACAAAACCTATCGTTATCATAGTCGAAACAACATCTAACACGTTGAATCATATTGATCTTATCACTTATGATAATCATATATCAATCTTCCTTTTTCATGTCCACAAAAATCCATAATCTTAATTATGCATACATAAGTATAACTTGTTTTGGTTAACCATTGCGATATCATTGAAACCATATATCGGTTAGGATATCATTGAAACCATATATAATTTTATCGAATTTGGTTAACCTAACCGATATAATTTTATCGTGTTTATTAGTTTATCGAGTATTAATGTAGAGATGTTTTAATCTATAACTTGTTTTCTAATCCCGCATTTGAGGGTCATAATCTAGTTCTAGTACAATTGAAAGGTTATATTAGTCGTTCTAACTTATATATGGGGCAATAAATAAAGTAAAAGATTCTATGGACCAATTTGCAATATTTAATAAAATGGTAAAGCGCTTACGTGGCGAACATCTCCAAGCAATCCAGAATCAAACATCGTATCTCTAATCTTAACCGTCCGTTGATGATGCAACCAAATCGTACCGTCCATAAACTGAACACCGTTAGATTCACACGCCTCCACAATCTTCTCCAGCTCCGTCGAGTCTTGAGCCGGTGGTTTCTCAACAAGAACATGCTTCTTCTTCTCCGCCGAGGTCACCGCCCATTTCCCTCGTTGCGTCACCGGCATGGTCAAGTAAACGGCGTCAACGTTTTCATCGTTTAGTAGTTCTTCGTAGCTTCCGTATATTGTGACGGTTTCCGGCGATAAATTGTTGGCGGCGGCGAAGGTTTTAGCTGTTTCGAGTGATGGATCGCTGATGGCGATAATGACGGCGTTTGAGGATTGTGTTACTGTTCTGACGAACTTTGAAGCGAATCTGATGCATCCAAGAAGACCAAAACGCACCGTTTTAGTGTCACTCATTGTTGTGTGTTTTTTTTTTTTTAGGTTTGTGACAAATCTGTTTACTTCTTCATCTTTAGGAGCTGTGTTCTAATGAAAGTGATGAGATATGATTGTTTTCCACGTGGCGAATCCTGAGCCTTAAGAGTTTTGAGATTATCTTCTTCAATTTATTTTCTTGAATCTACGTGGCAAATTTTCATTTTTATAACGATTTTTATTAACTAAAAAATGCAATATTTGTTGAACTAAAGACTTGAGTTACTTCAAACATGCAAACTAAAACACATCAATCCAAACACACATGCATGAGTAGAAATACATCGATGAGTTATATAATGTTAAAGCCTCGAAATAACGTGTTCGACACTGCGTTGATGAACTTTCTTGAAACCAGCATCGTCCTCCTTGACTACCAAGGCCTTAGCGATGTCTCGCAACTTAGACTTGAGGATCTTTCCATTACTATTCTTTGGCAGCTCTTGAAAGAACACCACCTTCTTCGGACACATAAAATGCGGCATATTCTCACGGCAATACTTAATGAGATCTCCTTCATTGGTCACCAATTCCTCTTCACCTTTCTTTAGAACAACAAACGCACACGGGGTTTCACCCCATAGTGGATGAGGCATGGCCACAACCGCGGCCTCAAGAACTTGCTGATGCATGTAAAGAACTTTCTCGACCTCAATACTGCTGATGTTCTCACCTCCCGAGATGATGATGTCTTTGGATCTATCTTTGATCTCTACATATCCATCAGGATGAATCACACCTATGTCTCCCGTGTTGAGCCATCCGTGTTTAAAGGCTTCAGATGTTGCTTTAGGGTTCTTTAGATACCCTTTCATAAGAATGCTTCCTTTAATGACAATTTCTCCCATTGTCTTACTGTCGCGCGGGACACTCTCTAGAGTTTTCGTGTTCTTCACGTCAACGTCAGCTAGGGTTAGGTTCCTTACACCTTGCCTTTGTTGTAGTTGCATCTGTTGATGCTCTGGTAGTCTATTTAGGATTGTCATAATAAACTTTGTTATTTTCAAGATGATTATGTATATAAAAGATTGTAGTATATTATGTAAAATCATAATGGTTAAATTACTTGTTCCACTCCTCTTGCCATTCACAAAAGAGAACCGGGCCGGTGGCCTCTGTAAGACCATAGCCATGCATCACTTGAAACCCTAGCTGCTCAACTTTCTTTATAAGGACGGCCGGGGGCGAAGAACCTCCGGTCAACACCTGAACCGGCGGGGACTTGTGTGACTGGTTGGTTCGATCTCCTTCAAGGAGAAACCTAAAGACCGTAGGAACACATGACATATGTGTCACGCCATGCAATTCTATGTTCTTATAGATCTCTGGGGCAGTCACATGTCTGATGCATACATTAGTACCGCCACGTGCAGCGACAGACCAGGGGAGCGTCCATCCATTGCAATGAAACATAGGCAGTGTCCAGAGGTAGACCGGGAAAATCCCCATTTGCCAGCCAATAATCATGCTCAAAGCGCTCAAGTAGGCTCCTCGGTGGCTAACCACCACACCTTTTGGGTCGGCAGTGGTACCGGACGTGTAGTTCAATGAGATAGGGTCATGCTCGTTGTGGACAAGGAACATATTTGCGGACAAGGAGGGCGTAGTTTCTCCTTTTCGGATGAGACCCTCGTAATCCAAACCCTTGGAAGAAGGATTTGTAGTGGAATCAATCTCGTTAATTAATATGATCCGCGGATGAGATTGTGACTCGTCAGTGGGTAGGAGACGTAGGACTTCTTGGATCAAAGGAGCAAACTCGTGGTCCACAAATAAGATCTTTGGCTCGGCGTGGCTGAGGATGATGGCTATGGCTTTGGCGTCAAGACGGGTGTTAATAGGGTTAAGTACGGCTCCGGTCATGGGAACGCTAAAATGCATCTCGTACATGGCAGGTACGTTTGGGGCCAAAATCGAGACCTATACAAAGATTTATTACATATATATAAGATGAATAAATCATTTCGGTAAAAATTACATCCTAAAGAAAAGTAAGGATATATAGTACAAGATATGATAGGCATCACTAAATATAAAACTAAAACAAGAAAAAAGAGAAGTCATGTGTTTCATATGTAGATCATGACACCATTATATCGTGAGAATGAGTTTTAAGGAAAAGGCATATAATGATTAGTCACATATATATATGAGAAGGAAAATGGAAAATTCTTACGACGTCGTTTCGGGTGATGTTAAGAGAGAGGAGAGAAGCGGCGAGACGACAGCAACGGTCATAGGTCTGAGGCCAAGTGAACCGAGTTTTTCCATAGATTATGGAAGTTCGATTGGGATAACACTCGGAAGCTCTCTTCAAGAACGTTATGGGCGTTAGAGGAACGTTGTTTGCTTCACATAACACCAGATTATCCATCTTGTATGTGTGGGAATAAGGATATGCAAATTCATATCATATATAGAAAATTTTGAGGCCTCAAAACATATGAGTGAGAGGGATAGATAATAATATGGATTGCATGCTGGCAATGCCTAAAGTTTTGAAAGCTGTCATAGAAAAAATCTCTCACACAAGTCACAATCTCACTTTCTTTTTGAGTTTATAACAGAGACATGATATTAGACGAACCACCTTTAAGAGGATTAAAAGCTATATATTGTAAAAGTAGTAGATGATATATTTGCATGCCAAACAAGATAATGCGATAATACTAAATTCGTTTATTTTAAAAAGTTCGGCTAGCTAAAATTATGTTTAAATTTTTAAGGAAAGCCATGCAAAACAGTCTTTGACAAAGACACGAGTTTGTGGTATTAACGGTTCTGATACATTAGGCACGAGATGTCGTTCAAATGGTATACTGACCATTCATATTCACTGTTGTTTTCATTGTCCACATGCGTTTGTAATCAAATAAAAACAAAATGGATCGGTCTCGACAGATTTTCAGTTGCGACCTAAAACTTTGGTTTCTATTTTCATCACCAACTTTGATGTATTGATATGCATGAAAGAGGAAGAAAAACACAATCAAAATCGATGAAAACCACAGGATATCATATATCTCACCTTCATTCTCTTCTTAAGCTAAATATGTTAATATTATTTTTAATCATTGAGTTTAGATATGGTAGAAATAGATTTGAATATCAAAGAAATTTATGTTGATGTTTTCAAGAAGGTTAAGGTGTTAAATAGATTTTAATTTTTCAAATTAAATGCAAAAACTTACATACATCAAAAATTTATTAAGCTATATAGTTTAGATTGTTTAAATAAATGTTTTTACTGACATTTAATTTCAAAAAATAGTTAACCAATTTTTACAAATATAAAAATGTGTTTGATCAAAAGAATGTATGTTTTAAGTATATGAAACTTTTATATATGTTATATTTAGAAACAAAAAAAATTAAAAGATGGAAGAGATGAGAGGTAAAAGAGGGAAATGCAAAGATGATGGGGAAAGAAATGTATATTATAAAAGTTCTAAAAATCACTAAGTAACTGTAAATTTGCTACTAGGTGTGTTATATTATTATAAAAGTTTTGTATAAGGTCAAAAAATGAACTACCTCTTCCTAAAAAAAGAAACTTTGCAACAAAACGTATATAATGAGGATGATTGGCATGAGCTACGTACACCAGCATCATCATTTCTCTCTATAGCACTAAAGCCGAGCCAATCAAGATTTGATTTCATTTTTGAAACATACAACTTTCACAGCAAATTTTAGATTTTATGGCTGTAGAAAGGAAATTATATTTCCCTTTATATATAGGAAAAAAATATATTATACAGTATTTCTAATACATATGATATATAAATACACACTCAACTATAATATAATATATATATCTTATTATATAAAGTATGGTTTTCAAAGTTAATAACTCGCATGATCGTGACACGTGTCAAGTCTATCGATCAGATGTTGACATGTGGCAAAAAATATTTAACTTTTTTTATTAACGAAATAGGAAAACTAAAAAAAAAAAAATATTTACATATACTAATTTATATATCCAATTTTCAAAATTTGTTAACTTAATTTTTCTTAACCAAAAAGGAAAACTAATTAACAATTTCTCTTTACATGTGTTATTGGTCAATTAGATTTGGTATGTGTTAATTATTTTTATTAAATCATTTAGTATGGATATTAACAAATAAACAATAACCTTTGAAGTTTTAAATAACAATATAAGTTATTTAACATTCATTTAATTGGATAAAATTGTATTTATCATCATTATATAGTGTTTTTATTCGTCAAATGAAAACACAAAACTTTTACAAAAAATAATGAACATATAAGAACGAACGAATATTTGAATATTTGATAAGAAAATTAGAGTATGAGTGGTTAACATCACATGAGTATATTCAAAGTATAAATCCGGCCATATCACAATCAAGACATCAAAGAAACCCTCCGGCGCAAACATACTGGGAACAACCTCTAGCTGGCTGGATGAAGTGTAATTTTGATGGTTCATATCCGTACAACAATCAACCATCAAAAGCAGGATGGATTATCCGTGATGAAAAAGGCACTTTCAAGGACGCAAAACAAACAACATGAGAGGTTCTTTCAAGTGTATTAGAGTGTAAATTCCAAACCATGATTATGGTGATGCAACATGCATGGGTGTCAAGGACACCGCAAAGTGATCTTTGAAGGAGATTCCAAATCAATCGTAGAACAAATGCAAGGCATGCAAAAGCATCAATTTTGGATGTTATAAATGGGTACGTGAAGCTTGTCAACGGCTGAGAAGATTTGAGGAAGTGCAATTCAAATGGACAGCTATAACGAATAACACCCTTCATTTTATTTCTGAAGCTCTACATTCTAATCATGTAGAATCTTCATAAATAAAGCACATGTTACAAAAAAAAAGTACGATGGTGGAAAGACGTGAAATAATTTAATTAACAAAATATGTAGATTTGGAATTCGAGATATATTGTTTTCAAATATAAACGAGTTTTTTTTTTCTTTTCTTGATAAATTGTGGGAGTTCCGGAATTTCAAAACATATTCCATCACTAAATAATTACACCACTAATTTCAGAAATTCATCTGAATACAAAAACAACTTTTGAAAAATCCTGCATGTAACTCAAATTTACCAAAATATATAAATTCAAGAATCTTATCCCATATTCAATCCGTTGCTAAATATATTAAAAAAGTTCACACATTCTAATTTTAATCACCATAATTTATAACACAACTTTTATTTTTTTCTCTTAAAAATAAAACACGTAAATTTAGAACGTGTGGGTTCTTGAACCGTTACACACTATTTCGGTTATATTATGACACCTAGCTTAAACCGTTATAATTTTGGCCAAAAACAAAAAAGAAGAAGCTTAAACCGTTGTAAAATAGATAACCTTATGCTATGAGACATTTATACATGATAATTAACTTTTTCAACAAAATTATTATTACTTTCGATTCTATTTTGGTTTTCACCAATAGAAATAAAGAAACAAATTCTTTTTTATTTATTTATATCCTGCAAAAGAAAATAAAATAATTATTAACAAAAAATCTTGAGCCAAAATTTCATTCCAAATCTCTCCAGTCTTCAATCTTCTGTATGGGCAATTTCGTCATTTAAAATGAATAAGCAAGAATCATACTCTTTCCATAGGGGCAATTTCGTCATTTACAATTGAATAAGCAAGCTAACCAAATCGTATATATTAAAAAGATTCGTCTAATCACTCTGTTACAATTCTGTTTATCATTTATCTCTTTCTCTCTAACACCAACAAAGATTTTCTCTCATTCTCTCGGAAAAAAGATCCACGAAAATGACATCTCCTCATGACGACGAAGCTTCTTCATCAAACCCTCCTCCACCACTAACCGCATCACGTATCTACATCGGAAACCAAGCAAAAGAGATTCTCGCAACACGTAACATCACCGGAATCACAAAACTCGTCACTAACCTCTGTTACGGTAAAGAAACAGAGCAATCTTCAAAGCTTCTCTACGAAACCTTCTCAAAACATTTCCCAAACATTTTAGTCTCAAAACTCCTCCAAATCTACAGTTTCGGTACCGATATAACCCCGAAGATTCGATCTTTTTCACTCTGTCTTCTCGATTCACTTCTCATGGATATCGATGATTTACGCGGTGGTTTGAAGAAAGAGTCTTTGAATGATATCAAGAACCATGTAAGTTCTTGCCTTCTCACGCAAGAAAGTTCTGATGAAGACTTTAAACTTCTCTCAAGAATCGTATCTCGTGTCTGTGTTGATGTTTTCATTGCAAGCAAGCCTTGGTACGAGCTCTGTTCTTATATTGTTTCACTAGATGGGAATAAAAAAGCTTTGTTGTTGTTTAGTGAACTACCAACGCTTCTTGATGAAGAGTTCTTGTTGCCGTTGTTGGAGAATGGTTTTGGTTTAAAGATTGTTAATGTGTTGTTGATGAATCAAGATTATGATGAAGAAGAATGGTGTTTAGGTTTAGAAGCTGGGTTTAGTTTGATACTTCAGCTTGTGAATTTGAACAAGAAGAGTTTGGTTTGGGATTTGGTTTACGTGATTGTGAAATCGGTTTGGGAGATGGTTAATGTGAAGAGAAGAGAGATTGTTGTGCGTAAAGGGTTTGTTAGAGTTGCGAAGAAAGTTAGAAGAGAAGCTTTGAGGTTTCGTGAGCATGAGTATGAAGTTGTGTCACGTTTAGGTTTGATGATACAGAGGATTAATGGACTTGGTGAAGTTACGATGATGATGGTGATGATGATTCATGAAGTTCTTGAGAGGTATTACATGGGAGGTCAAGTGTTGAATCATGGTTTGCTTAATCAGTTTTTGTAATTGGTTTTTAGTGACAAGTCTTGATTTTGTTGAAGAGATTTTACAAATAGGTTCCTTCTTTGTGTCTATTCATGTGTTGTTATGGATTCATTTTGTGACGCTTATGTTTCCAGTCAATATCATAAATCTGTTTTTTTTTTCAACTTATCGTCGTATATAAATCTATGAACAACATTGAGACAAAATACTTTCATTGAAAATCGATCACAATTTGTGATGGAAACTGGAGTTTACAACACTAAAAACAACGAAAAGAATATAGAAGGATGTATATGAAAGCATATTTAAAAATGTCAAGACTATAAATCAATGAAAATACTCTTCTTTTATGAAAAACCAATGTTGGTAACAAATTTCAAGATATATCCTTTACTATACCAAACATAAAACTACTCATTTGCTAAAAACCATTCAAATACTAACTATCGTAATACTACTAATGATATACTGAATCAAGATAGGGTCCTATAACTTCTTTGCTTCCAGCATTGTTGTGTTGTGTATCCTACATGAGTGCATGTACTATAAAACTAGGAGGATAACGAAAGCAGAAATGCAAAATTTATCAGGAAAGAAATACAAAAAGCCTTGAATCTTTGCCCGCTGACTGTTCAATTTCTCAATAATATTTTAGATTCAAAATTTTAGTCTAAAATGGTGCTTGTTATCTATTATTGTTTTTTTTTGGGTAGCCAGAGGAGAAAACTGTCGAAATCATCGGCCCAAACAATTTGCCAGATGCCTTTATCAACCTAAATTGTGGCATTATACATTTATGAATCTGAACTAATAAATTTTCGAAATTACCGACTTAAACCACATAATCGTTTATTGACTTTCACGGTGTTAGTAAACGGTGTTACGTGCGTGAGTCAGACAATACCCGGACGACACTGTGACAACTTAAAGTTGTTGTTAACCTTCAGTGTTAGTAAGCCCTAAACGGCGTTGAGTCCTAAGTCATAGTGTTCGCCACAGTGTCGTCTAACTTAACATCATTTAACGGTTTACAAACACCGTAAAGGTTATATGATTAAAGTGGATAACTTAAAAAATTTGTTGGCTCAGGTCATGATTGCATGATACCACAGTTTGAATTGAAAAAAACATCCGATAAATTGGCGGTTTTTGCGCAGCTAGAATCTTTTGGGAAAAATGTTATTTAAATCATCAGTTTACCATTTTCGTTTGTTTAAAGCATGAACTATGGACCTGGTGATTTAAATCCTCAATTTATGTGAACTTGGTGATTTAAATCCTCAATTTTATGTTGATTTTCAATATAATCACGAATTCTCATTGACTAAGCCAATTGAGGCACATCGTTAACTGGCTAAACGGAGCAATCAGACGAAGAGGAAGATGGAAACCATGTTGGTGTACAAGAAAAATTATTTGATGGCTTCGAAGTGCCAGTTATGCTATGATATCGTCTTATTGATCCGATTAGCCATTTAGCAATGTGCCTCAATTGGCTTTGTCAATGAAAACTCATGATTAAAATGAAAATCAACATAAAATTAAGGATTAAAATCACCAGGTCTAGAGTTCATGATTTAAACCAACGAAAATGATAAACTGATGATTTAAATGACATTTTCCCGAATCTTTATATAGTTTTTTTACATTTTTTATATAAAAAATCTCATAAATTTTTCATAATTTTTTTTAAAAATACATATTTTAAACTACTACGATACATAGTAAGTTACGCCTTATTACAAATGATCAATAATAAAAAAATGGGATTCAAACTAATAGTAATTGAAAAAAAAAACGATTCATCCTTAGTTCCTTCTAACCGAAGATTCTTTTTGCGGTTTGCCACGCTTGGTAGGCAAGTTCATATATTTGACCCTAACAAATATTCCAAAACATAAACTTGTTAGCGGTCAGATGATTTGCTTAACACATCATCAAATAAAGATGGTAAAAATCAAGACCGCTCAAATAGAAGACTTACCAGTTCAATATCTAGATCATCACCAATTTCCTCGCCAAGATCTGCTAGAATCTTAGTTAGATCACCACTAGGAGGCTCACCAGTTTCCTTGCCATTTTCTAGAACAGAGCAGTGGAATAAGTACCAAAATAGAGCTTGGCTTTTCTCAGATAAACTCTTACAGAGATATCCTATTACACAAAGATTGCATTCATCATCACTCCTTCCCCGAATCCCTAATCCTACACCATGCAAATTTAATGGAAGCTTGCCAATAATTCTAATAATCTTTTCACACTCAAGAAGTGTTATAATAGATCCATCAGGTGGAGAGGTTTGTCTAAAAGCATATAGACAAAAGATCTTTAGAGCATCTTCTTGTGATGGAAAACCCACATGGTATATATCACTGATACCATGGTGCAGCAAAATATCTTTGTTTTCAGTGATCACTATGATTCTACTTCCAGGACCAAACCATTCGATATTAGCCAAAACCTCTAGTTGCTGTACCTCCTTCACGTCATCAAGAATGATAAGAACCCTCTGGTCGTGTAGCCTTTCGCGTATCGCACCTAAATGACGTATCCTAATGTCCTTTAGGTTCAAAACTTGCGAAAGAAGCTGCTCTTGTAAACTCAATTTCGAACGATACTCTAGAGCACTATTGGCTTTGCTTTCTATAAGGTTTTCCATATAACAACTAAGATGAAAACTGCTTGAGAGTCGGCTATGTAAGGCTCTGGCAATGGTACTCTTACCAATGCCTGCAGGACCGGAGATTCCAACCATCTTAACTTTATCATAGTCTAGATATAGCAAAGACTCAATTTCCGTCAAATGAGCTTTTAGTCCCACAATGTCATCAAAATCCTTTGACTGTGTAGCTAACAGTTTATCTGAGACATCAGTTGCAATCTTCTCGATCATTTTCGCTTCGTCGTCCCTAAGAAACAGTTATGAGAAAAGAAACTCCATAAATATATCATTCCTCTATTCACCAACTATTTGATCGATAACATGTTACTTTCCATCAACTTTGGGTGTTAAATCGATACAATTTAAAAGTTTGTGTAAGTAAAAGTGAAGAAAAAATTTAATTCATGTATTTTCTTGGGTACCTACCCAAAAGTTTGGAAATCGATAAACTGTTGGTGTATTTTTATGAAATTTTCATGTAGTTTCAGACTTTTATTTAGGGGTAAGGTTAAAAAATCGTAAACCAAAAAACGAACCAAACTGAAATAAAAGATTTGATTTGGTTATGATTTAGCTTTAAAAGTCATTTGTTATTTTTATTATGTTTTCGGTTTAGATTTCGTTTGGTCAAAAAACGTAAAAGCATATGTCTTTTTTGGTTTTTGATTAAAATTAAGGATAGTTATGTATAGTTAAATCGTCCAGTTTTTATTGTGATTAATAATAGTATAATTAATTTTTTTTCTTTATTAGGCTTATAATTATTGATCTTTGAGTAATTTATAATTATTGATATATTATATTTTATTCTACCTTTACTTTTATTTATGCATCAAACTTATATATTTTTTTTTGTAAAAACATGGAATAATTCTATAAAAATCGGAACCAAACCGAAACCGAAACCAAATCCTTATTTAATTTTTATAAAACCGAAAAATCATAAAAACCAAACCGTAACCAAACCAAATTACATACGGTTTATATATGGTTTCAGTTTTTGTAAAACCATAAAACTAAACCGAAAGACCGCAAAGCCCACCCCTACATCTATCTCCAATATGCATAATTCATTCAACAAGAAATTCTAATACCCGTTCATAAAAAACATTCCCTTAATGATTTCAATTCTATTCTATCAGAAGAAAGATAAACTGTAATTTAATGAAAAAACAAACCAGTCTTGGACGTGTTCTCCGGCTATGTTGCCCACATAGTTCAAAGCATGGGTCCATTTTATCATCTCCTCCTTTGTTTTACGAGCACAAGTTTCTTTGAAAGCGATCCCAAATTCTCCGGTTTGTTTCCGCACATCAGATGGATTTACTCCGTGGAAGATTGTCATCACTATCTGTCCTGCGTTGTCTTTGCAGTTCAAAATCTCCAATAGCTCATCAAGACACCAGCTCGATGAAGCATAGTTCTTAGAGAGTACGACGATGGAGATCCTCGATTCTCTAATCGCCTGTGTGAGAGCAGGGGCGATGGTTTGGCTCTCTCGATCCTTTCATCATTGAACATTGTAATTCCATTGGAGGTAAACTGTTTTCGCAAATGACTAAGAAATGTTTTGCGGACATCTGGTCCATGGAAGCTCGCGAAAGTATTGTATCTCCAGATGCAAGAAGAAGAAAAAGAAGCATCCATGAGTGGTTCAAAATCACAGATTTAAAGAGATGTGTTTGTTCTTTTTTTTTGAACAACAAGAGATGTGTTTGTTTATTAAGCCTTTAGTTTTATGGAACCTTTTATAGAGAAATTGACAAAGCTTATGGTGAGGGAATGTAATGAGAAGTTTCTTTGCAAGTAAACAAAATTTCAAACGAGTGAACTTATTATTACGAACAAAATTAGAGAAGAAGAAAGAACAAACGAAATAAGAAAAGTCACAATTGGTTGATTGGTTCACGTGACTTAGCTTCTTTTTGCAAAACGAGTGAACTTATTATTACGTCGTTTGTTTCAATACTTCACGTCCGTGTTAAACAGACGTGAACATTTTAACGTCAGTTTCTTAAACGTCGTAACATCGCATGACGCAAACATTTTTGGCTTCACTTAAATAAATGACGTCATGTTTAGCGTCAAAAGAATAACGTCGGTTTGTTTTGAATTTAGCATCGGTTTTATAGTTTGACCTTAAAACTTTAGCTTATGGGAATTTTGCAAATCTATAATATATAGGGTCAAATTGTAAATTATATAATTAAAAGGTATTAGTATATAAAATAGAAATAGAATATTTCTAAGAATATTATCTTTTAGAGTAGAAAATAGAGATATACATTGGAGAGAAACCCTCCTCTAAAATAGAGATACTCTATTTTAGAGTAAAATATAGAGCTTTACATTGGAGATGGTCTTAGGGTCAATTATACAAGTTACAACCAACGCAAGTATGCATTATTTTCAATTTATATTAATTATTTATTAAAAGTAATAAAAATAATAAGAAACGAAATTCAACTAATAATTTCAAAAGCTGATCCATATTATTCCATTTATCAAATTTATATGTTTATACACAAAATAATATAATTTTGTAACTCTATCTTACAAAAGATAAACATATTAATAGAGAAGATAAATGAACAAACGAAATAAGAAAAGTCATAATTGGTTCACTAGACTACCTCTTTATCCCAAACGCGTAATGGAAAAAGACAGAAAAATTATAATTTTTTTTTTGGACATATAAAGACCTATATAAAGTTTTTATAGAATAAAATTCTGAAAACTAGTTTTTTTTTGTATATACTTTTTGCAAACGTAAAAATATGTAAATTAAATTTGATGGATATTTCGAATAGCAGAATATAATAGAATCATGTTTTCGAAACATGAATAAGTGGTGTACCATTCATCCTTTAGGTTGAGAGAAGAAGTTTCCAAGAAATAAAATATCATTCATCTCTTAGATAGAGAGAAGACCATTTACAACCAATGTCAAAGGTGAGTTGATATCAAAAGAAAAAATGAAGAAGAAAACAAAAAAATTAATGATCCTTTTTTTCTAATTTGAAAAACCTTTAGATGACCAAAATATTTCTTATATGCATGTATGTGTGGATGTAAATTTTCAACAAAACATGAATATGAACCTAATGGATTCTTTATCGGATTATTGTTGATTTTGCCATTTTAGCACCCAAATCTTAGATTTGGCATTTTGGATGGTTTCAAATATTTTAGATTTGCTTATGTTTTGCTACTCAAAAAACTAAAGATTTGAGAATTTTGAATATTAGACAATACATACTTAATTACAATACTATACCCTCAAAAAATAGAATCCAATAAACCCAAACATAATGTGTAAAACCGTGTGTTTTACTTTTAGATATTAGAAAATGACAAATTTAAAATATTTAGGAAAAATGATAAAAACTATAAATACCACAAAAAAGTTCTTATCTAATAAATTAGTAATTAATTCATTCTTAAATTATTTAGTATATTTTAAATAAACCATATTGCTTTCTTGTAATTCGGTTGTGATCGGTTCTGTTTGAATTTACGGTTTCGAACATCCCTAATTAGAGATTTAAAAGAATTTTTTATTCATATATGGTTTATCGCACTATTATTTTAGTTACCAAAAAAAAAATCTACTATTTTAGTTTGACAAAAATAGAAAACAATACAGTATCTATTTAGCTTCATTTCCCATTTTTTTCTCATCTAGAGGTAAATTAAATTCTCTTACAATTTAGTCTTTTGGTTAATCCAACTTTTTTTTACTAGAAAAGAATTGTCAACTCTTTTTCAATGGTCACACTCACACACAAAAAAAAAAAAAAAAAGTCTTCGTGCAGAAACTACATTAGCTCTTTCTCAAATCTTCTAGAATCATCTTCAATTCTCTCAATCTTCTTCATCAGTCCATCACCAACACAACTTCAAAACACTCACTCACAAACAAAAAATCAAAACCCTAAAAATCAACAATGTTCGGAGTCGTCTTCCCCAATCGAAGTTTCCCACTCGACATCTCAACCTTCACTCAAATCGACACATTTCACTGGGTTCTCGACATGAACCACTTCGTCGGTAAGTACCCATCTCCCAAAAACCAAACTTTTCAAAACCCTAATTCTCAAAATCAAAAACCCTAATCGAAAAATCCAATCTTTTTTTTTCTTACAGGTGAAGCATATGATCAAATCTCAGAGATGTGTATCTTCTTATTAAACAATTTCAATCTTCCACCAGATAAAGCTTTAGCTGTTTATCTCCAATCTCCAGGATCAGCTTTTGTCTTCTGTGGTGCTGTTACTTTAGCTAGACCATCAGCTGTGTTGTCACTTCAATGGCCTGAAGCTGGTAGTGCTGCTCAGATGCAACTCACGGCGGGTGATTCGAGTTCTTTATCGGCGAAAATCGGTGTTTCGGTTGAGGATATAACGGCGTTGAGGTCGTTGGATGTTGTGGCGGAGAGGAGGATTGAGAAATTAGCTATGAAAGTTGGAGAGAATTTGTTTAACTTTATGCAGTCTTTTTGTGGTGTTGATGGAAGTAAATTGGTTGTTCCTATGGATATTTTGGATCGTTGGTTTAAGAAGTTTCAGGAGAAAGCTAAACGTGATCCTGATTTCCTCAAAAGCTTTGCTTTGTAAGGTTAGAGTTTAATTGGGAAGTTAGCTTTCACTGTATTACAATGGCGGTTGGTTTTTGTAACATTTGATTTTGTGGTTCTATATAATGAATTGAAGAAGACATTGTAGTTTTACTTAGTTTGTTAATGTTCATTAACTACTCATCATACTCTGCTTTTAAGCAGTTTAAAGTTTATATCTTGTTGATTTGAGGTAGATGAGAGGTGGAGTTTAATCTGTCTTGTGTTGAGAAATGAATCTTGGTTCCTAGTTTTTGATTAGCTCACTTCACTATATTGTGTGGTTTAATCAATTTGATCTTGGGTTCTATATGATGAATTGGAGAAGAGATTGTAGTTTTACTTAGTTTGCCAATGAGAATATGTGAGGGATATGTTTATCTTGGTGTCAGTGTTCTTCTTGCTTACATATGAATCACAGTTTTAGTAAGTGGATACTGTTTCGTATCTATTCATGTTCATAAGCTCAAACTCTGCTCTTAGAAAGTGAAAGTGATGAACTTTATCTTGTTGTTTTGAGGTAGATGAAAGGGTTAAGATTAAAACAAGCTTGTGTTTCACATCTGTTCATGTTTATATGATGAATCTAAGATGAGATTGTAGTTTACTTAGTTTGCCAGTGAGAAAATGTGAGAGATATGCATATTTGCTTTCAATTGCAACTCAACAGAGGAAGGTATGACCTTTTTTGGTCTGATTATGAAAACTTGTAGTGAGAACTTGATGAGTAGTAAAAATATGAATCACAGTTTCTGTATGTGGTCACTGGTCAGAGGATGGTATAACAGTTTCAATGTTCTTCTTGCTTACATTATGAATCATAGTTTCAGTGAGTGGATGCTGTTTCAGATTCTGGTCATGTTCATATGTTCAATCAAACTCTGCTTTTAAGCAATTTATAGTGTTGAACTTTATATCTTGTTGAATTGAGGTCAATGAAAGGTGAAGACTTAATTCCGAGTTTTGAGAAGTTTCACTTTACAACAGTGTGTTCTGTGTGGTTTTACCCATTTGATCTTGGGTACTATATGATATATTGAAGAAGAGATTGTAGTTTACTATAATTTGATCTTGGGTTCTATATTTGTTTTCAATGTTCTTCGGTATTTTTGTTAAATGGTTAATCTATTGCAACTGGTACAGAGGATGGTTTAACCTTTTTGTTTAATTACAAAAAATTTCGTGAGAACTTTATGAATATTGAATAGTAACAAAATATGAATAACAGTTTCAGTAAGTGGATGCTGTTTCAGATCTGGTCATGTTAATTAGCTCAATCAAACTCTGCTCTTTGCAATTTGAAGTATTGAACTTTATCTTGTTGCCTTAAGGTAGATAAATGGTGAAGAATAACCTAGCTTGTATTTGAGGATAGTATCTTGATCTTCTTTGTCCTTTTATTTGATCTTGTTCGGTTTTTCGAAGCTGTAAACATGAACCGGGACAATGCAAAACCTATAGCCGGATTTTCTGAAACTGGCTGTTCGGCCATATTGTGCATTTTTCAACATCTATATGTTACCCGTTGTTCAACATTTACGACGAAAAAAGTTGGATTTGCGTTGATTTTAGCTACTCACAGTATAAGCTCTGATTCTTGATCTAATTTCAATTTGCTTGATTAATGAAATACTTCTTTTGCAAGCCTCACATATTGATATAGTTTATTGTAAAGATGATTATCAAAAAATTAAGAGAGAGCTTACCTTTAGTAGAACATAAGCATAAGAAACTAGAAAAGTTGTTTATATCAATATGTGAAGAACAAAAAACCTAATCAGAAAGTAAAAAAAAAAAGTTTACAAAAGAAAATGTCACTTCTTCCAACTAATATTTAAAATGTGTCACAACTTTCTTACAAATTTTAAATCTACTTTTAATATTCTTGTATATTTTATTAAATAACTAGATAAGGCCCGCCTAAATAGGCGGGTATAATATATAAATATAAAGTGTTATCAATTATATTTGAATTTTAATTAATATAGTAATCCATTCACTTTCCCTAATATTTAATAATTTAGTATTTTTTGTTTTAAACAAAAATTAAATCTTACACATTCTATTTTTCTATCCATTTTAATTATTTATTTCATCGTAATAAACTGAATTTTAATTCTGCACATTCTTTCGCATTGATGATATTTTAATCCTAAATAGTAACCGACACACTTTTTATATATTTAATTTAGTATCTTTTTTTTTTAAAACGAAATTTTAATCTTACACATTCCATTTTTCAATATATTTTAAATAAGGCCCGCCTAACTAGGCGGGTATAATATATAAATATAAAGTGTTATCAATTATATTTGAATTTTAATTAATATAGTAATCCATTCACTTTCCCTAATATTTAATAATTTAGTACTTTTTGTTTTAAACAAAAATTAAATCTTACACATTCTATTTTTCTATACATTTTAATTATTTATTTCATCGTAATAAACTGAATTTTAATTCTACACATTCTTTCGCATTGATGATATTTAAATCCTAAATAGTAACCGACACACTTTTTATATATTTAATTTAGTATCTTTTTTTTTAAAACAAAATTTTAATCTTACACATTCCATTTTACAATATAATTTAACTATTTATAACATCACAATAAACTTGATTTTAAGTCTTCATAATTCATCTTAATGGATAAACTGTTAATAATAATTTTGTATCAAAATCGTATATATATCATATCAAATCTATATCTTAGTTAATATTAAAAATTTAAATATATTAACAAATAACAAAACATTTAATAAAAAATAGAAATCCACAAAAGTTATGGAAAACAAACATTGTTAAAATATAGTTTTCTATATAACGTAATCTCATAAGTTAGTTTTACCTCATGGCAAACTAATTTTAAATGAGTTAAAATTAATAAATAAATCATTAAAAATATATATATTAACATTTTCATTAAGTAGTCAAAAATTCAATCATATAAGCCATTTTCCCAAATAGTTTTAGTTTATAATTATGATTAGATGCACTAAAATTGTTAATATAAAATTAAGTATAACCACACTAATTTTCTTATCAAATATTCAAATATTTGTTCGTTTTTATAAGCTCATTATTTTTTGTCAAAATTTTGTGTTTTCATTTGACGAATAAAAACACTATATTACGATGATAAATACAATTTTATCTAATTAAATTAATGTTAAATAACTTATATTGTTATTTAAAACTTCAACCATTATTGTTTATTTGTTAATATCCATACTAAATGATTTTATAGAAAACAATTAACACATGTCAAATCTAATTGACCAATAACACATGTGAAGAGAAATTGTTAGTTTTCCTTTTTGGCTAAGAAAAATAAAGTTAACAAATTTTAAAAATTAGATATATAAATTAGTATATGTAAATATTCTTTTTTTTTAGTTTTCCTATTTCGTTAATGAAGAAAGTTATACTACATGGTCTATACTTTTCTTTTGTTTTCCTTAATAAATTGGAAAAGGCTTTAGAAAAAGGCATAAATCTAACGAAAACGGAAACAAACACCCCAAAAATAAATAAATAAACCCTAAATCCACAAAAAAAAAAACAACTTCACAAAGGCATTTAAATCCCTTTAACCTCTGTAGCCAAAACCACAACACATCGGAGATTCCAATCCAACCAAAACGCTTCATCTTCTTCCGATTTCTCTTCCTCTACGAAAAACCCTTTTGGATTCAGACTTTTCTGGGTATGTTTTCTTATTAAAGGTTTCTCCTTTCTTAGTTAAATTCGCTCCTAGATCTTAAATTTCGATTGATCGTAGGTGGGTTTCTATAGAATTGCTCCAATTTATGATTTTGAATTGGTTTCTTAATGTTGTGTTCTCGAATTCATGGTTAAAGTTTCGAGCTTTATCATCAAAAATTCTCTTTGTGTAGATTACTATGACCAATTTGTTACCTTTACTCTGCTCTGTGCTTGCATGATGATGTTCAAAAGTTGAATCCTTTTTCATCGAAACAAGAACTTCTTAAGGCTTTCGTTAGTCTTCACTCATCAATTTGGAATTTAACCATGTTGATTGATTTCGATTGACGGATTCATATAGCTATTGCAATTCCATAGGATTGGATTATTTGTAATGTACTCTGGATAGTTTTATGTGTTTAAGATCCTTGAATTTTGGTGGAGTGTTTTTGTTTGGTATCTTTAAGAGTTCATGGAACTTGTGTTAGTTTAGATAGCTGACATGCTTGTAATAGTTTTAATTGATATAATGTATCTTGATTTTTGTAAGCATTAGATTTACCTGTTCGTCGTAGATGTGAACTCCGAGTTGGACTGTTAGTATCAGTATCCTCTGGCTATGATAAGAAGTTGATGCTAGTAGAAGCTTAATGAGAATTGTTAAAGCATGTTTACACGTTTTATTTTGAATATATTATTCGGATAATCAGAGTGAGGATGCTATTTAAATGTCAATATGGTTTTATGCATGTTATAAAACGTACCAGGATATAGAAGTGTTTTAGATGTAAGCATCACCACTGAGACCATTTATGAGCGGGGTGATCCGTGTATTTGATTATATGGATTGAGCAGTACTGTAGTTTGATTCAGTAAGCGTGATTTTGATGCTTAAGCGTTTGGCAGGTTTACCAGTTGGACTCAGATAGCAGCTTATATTTGAACCCGATAATTTGCAGCAAATATGGATGACTGGGGTAAGACATTTGCTTTAAGTGTCCTCTCTTAGATTCTCTATTTGTATCTAAATATAGTCCTCTTATTTGTTTATTTATAGTATTGGTTAGATATGCAAGCAATTTTGGATTATTTGCTAATTTGATGGGTTTCATATTTCAAAATCGAATCACTTGCATGTGTGTAGTCTTATAGTTTATTATTTTCGGATTTCAGAGGACGAGCAAATTGCACCACTTCCAGCAAAAGTTGAGCTTAAAAGTAACTGGGATGATGAGGATGTTGATGAGAATGAAATTAAGGAGTCATGGGAGGATGATGATGAAGAACCTGCTCAGGTATATCTTAATTTTTACTCTCTGGAATTATTTCCGTATTGTCTACTACGTATAATTTGGTTTGAGATTCAACGGGAACATTTATGTTTTGTCTGCTTTGCCTTGTTGTGTTTCTGTAGCAGCCTGTTGTAAAGCCTGCTCCAGAGAAGGCTCCTAAGAAAGCAGCCCCCAAAACTGTTGAAAAGAAGGGTAAAGCAATCGAAGTTCCTAAAGAAGAACCTCTAGATCCTATAGCTGAGAAACTTCGCCAGCAGAGGTACAGTTTATAAATAATACTTCCCTTTAATCTTTTGTACTTTGTGTCTTTGTTGGAAGCAAAAAACATATCATTTAGATAGAAAGCTGTGAAGGTCTATGTGATCTTATATGTTATATTCTTTCTATCACAGGCTTGTTGAGGAAGCCGACTACCGGTCAACTGCTGAGCTCTTTGGAGTGAAGGATGATGAAAAAAACCTTGATATGTTTATCCCTAAGTCTGAAAGCGATTTTTTGGAATATGCTGAAATGATTTCTCATAGGATTAAACCATATGAGGTATGCTGTATTCTGTCTTACATACCTTGATTATCATTTGCTAGAACGGAAGCTCATGGCGTGTGAAAAGTCATATTTGGTTTCTGTTGCAGAAAAGTTATCACTATATTGCGCTGCTCAAAACAATCATGAGACTTTCACTGACCAACATGAAAGCAGCAGATGTTAAGGATGTTGCTTCGTCCATTACAACGATAGCAAATGAAAAACTAAAGGCGGAGAAAGAAGCTGCTGCAGGCAAAAAGAAGGGTATGTGCACTCACAATCACTTTCTAAATTCTGTCCTGAGTTTCGTTCATGCCTCTGGGCTCTGGCTACAGCGGTTTATCTTTAGCTTTTAGTTTTGTGAATTCGTTATTCTGAATCCGTATTTCATGACCAATTGCATTGCTTCATCAGGTGGGAAAAAGAAACAACTTATTGTAGATAAGCCCGATGACGATCTAGTGGCTGGTCCTTATGATGCCATGGATGACTTCGACTTCATGTAGATTAAAGAGCTTTTTCAGCAAATGCAAATTGGATTGTCCAGCGTATATTTTATCATTTATCACTCATAAGAAGCGAATTTTCTTAATTTTAGTTCGAATAGAGCAAGAAGAAGCCAAATTTCTTGTTGTGGAAATATATAGTTGGAACATTGAAAAAGCTTTTGTTTTGGTTCGGTCTAGAGATTCTCTGGAGTCATGATTTTGGTTCTTTTTGGTGGTTGAAAATTCTTTACTTAAATTGTCCGTATAAATTTATAATTGACATTGATGTGAAGAGGATATGATAAATCTTTTGGGGATTCAATTTCTTATAGCCATGGATGCTTTTTAGGTTGTCCAATCTTTAAAGAATCCCTATTGAGTAAGAGAGAAAATGTTGGTTCGATCAAGCACACGTAGTACTAGTATCGAGCGAAGGATGACCCCCCCATAGTAAGAGCATCCCTATGGTCTTGGTTCACCATTAGACCGCGAGATTAGATAAATACAATCCCATGTAAAAGGTCAAGCTGACATGCAGTGTGGTCATGTTTGCCGGCGAAACTGCAGTGCCTTCAATCCAAGAAGATGAGCAAATTGCACCACTTCCAGCAAAAGTTGAACTTAAAAATAACTGTGATGACGAAGATGTGAATGGGAATGACATTAAGTTTATATTTATATTGAAAGAAAAGATACGAGAATTTGACTAAGTTTTAGAATAAAAGCCAAAACAATAAGTTGCAAAGCATTCCACAAACGTTTGCAGAATATTACAAAAAGACTACAGAAGTCCTTAAGCTTGAGAGAGTTATTATATTCTTATCTCTTACCCGACTGCATAAAAAGTCTTCTGTTTACTTTCCAACACAGTCACTGGCTGCTGCTGCAACTGTATCAACCAATTTGATCCTCTTCGTTGGTGGTTCAACTTCAGACACAGTCTGAGTTCCTTCTTCTTCTTCCTCAGACTCAGCGTTGTTTCCTCCAGAAGACTCTGCAGTGTCTTTGCTTGATTCAGCCTCTTCCTCTTTCTTCTTCAGATTTTCGATAACTTCCATCATTTCTCTATTCACCTATTTTATTAAGCATTGATTTATGTTAGCCAAAGTTATTACAACAAAATTGGTAAAAACTAGAATTTAAGAAAGAGAGTGGTTTTTGTTTTTTACCTGCGGGTTTTGAAGAAAGTCGGAGAGGTCGGTAGTGCAGCACGGACAGGTCATTATGTTCTTCTTTGCACGTAGTGTGCGCCCGCCTCTACTTCTCTCTCTCACTTGAGAGATACCAGCAAATTTAGCTTCCAGGCATGCTTTACAGAAGTTGTGACCACAAGGCGTGGTCACTGGAAGACTCAGCACTTTCTTACAGATTTGGCAACCGAATTCTGTGTCAAATAAAACCCAAATAACAGTTATGTATTGTGCTAGATACAATATTCAATAATAACACGAGTGGTAATCGATGTTTACCTTTCAGAAGTCTGTTATTTCCGTTTTTTGCTTTCCTAATGATCTTCCTCTCCTCAGGATCCAAAGCAGCAACAGCCTTTCTGCTAACAGGTGGAGACTTCATCCATTTCCAACGACCCTCAGCTTCCTAATCAAGGAAAATGTATTCGCAGGCACAGGGAAAAAGGTTACAAATCATGAACTAACCGAAGAATGCTCAAACAAAAGAAAGGCTGTACTAACATCAAAATCCCATGATGGACTCTCCTTTCTCACAAACAGGTCAGTAGCTTTCTTAAGCTCTGGAATATTAGGCAAAGGTCTTGGACGATCGCCATGCTCATCACTGCAGTATATAATTCAAAATCTCATGAGCCATCAAATAGCAAATACAGAAATAGGGCACCTTCCGGGGAAAAAAAAGAAGAAGATCAAACCTGGTCCATGGAGCTGGCTCATTGTCACATCTAACAAACAGGTAACGACAGACCTTATAAGAACCCTACAGAAAACAGAAGAGTGTACTTCAGTAATAAAACAATCCAGCTCTGCATAAAAAGAACAATATAGGAATGTTAGCTATATATTCAACCTGTATTCCAACATTGCTCCAACACTTCTCGATTCTGTAGACCCCATCGTATCTCACTCCTTCCTTAGGGGCATATGCAGAACGCTTCTCCTTGTGAGACCTGAAGAGTCAGGATAACTTTCTGCTCAGAGTATATCGATGAATAAAGATAATCTATTCTTATTCAATAACGAAAGCATCCCATTCACATAAAGTTGAGAGTCTGGAGAAAAGCTAACCTGACAACTCGGACAGGATAGCCCATTTTGCAACTAAGTCTTAGAGCTTCATTCATTTTTGCAAACGACTGGTCAGAAGACTGTATCTTGTTAGTTCTTTTGTTTCCTCCGAGATCCCTTCCACCACTGCAACACACATTCACACATTACTTCTATAAGAAAAGACACAAGCGACAAATATACAGGCATCAAAGTGTTATAGGAGTAATGTAAAAATCAAACCTTCCTGTGTAGAGAAACCATTCACCATGATCCTCATCATCCTCATAACCTCCAGAGAGCGCCACAGACTGAGCTCCAACAGCTGATTGCCCCGCAATGCCAGCAATATGCGGGAAATGAGCTCCCCACTGCCTACATTCTTGCCTGTCCTCCCAAGATTCTCCAACCAAAACACCTTGGTTCCTAGTGGGATCATTTTCAGCTGGTATGGGACCAAAATGATCACCAGGTATTGTGACATAAATCCTTCCGCTAGCAGCATTAGCTTTCCCAGTCTTTTTAGCCCGGTCGGTAGTAAAGGCTTTCTCAGGACGATCTTGGTTGCGGATAATATGATGAACTTTGGCCGCAGTTGCCTCAACAGAACATTTGGTAACATTTGCTAAACGAATAGCAGAGACTAGAGCTAAGTTGATGCGAGGATTTTGCGCCACATTTTTCGGAATTTTGCTTCGGCATGTCATACAAGTTAGCTTCCCTTGACCTACCCATTTCTCGAAACATCTCAAGCAGAAGTTGTGCCCACACGGTGTCTACAAACACAAGTACAACACATCCATTAGTGTGCTACTTAAATACACTAATCAATCATCATTCTACTAATTACAATCCCAAGCATAAGACTGATTGCAGATAACAAGATTCAATACATCCATTGGTGTGGTAACGATTCTACTACTGTTATGTGTACTAATCACAAGATTTTAACAAGTCATTAACACAAATAAAGTAGCGATTCTACTAATCACACAGCTTACCAAGATTCAACACAATCACAAGCATAAGACTGATTGCAAAGAAGCCATTAGTTTGGTACTTCAATATTAATCATCATTATCAACAACAAACACATAAATTAGCGATTCTACTACTGTTATCTGTACTAATCACAAGATCCAACAAGTCATTAACAGAAACCACAAGCATAAATTAGCGATTCTAGTACTGTTATTAACACTAATCACAAGATTTAACAAGTCATTAACACAAATCACAAGCACATAATCTATTGATTTGAAGAATCGATGAAAACGAACGAACCGTGATAGGTCTTTCTGGCAATTGAATGCAAATAGAACAAAAGATTTCTAACTTCTTTTTGTCTTCTTCATCGAGACGATCGTCACCATCACCACTCATCAGTTTCTGCCTCCTTTTGGCTTTCTCAGCTTCCGTCAAAGTCACATCAGCCTGAATCGCACGGATCGCTGCCACGAGAACTGAACCGGATGATTCAAATCCAGCGTTTCCGGTAACCGGAGCGGCGGAGGGAACGACATCGCCGGAACAATCGGGACACTGCCACTCTCCAGTGGAAGAAGAGAGTGATTCAGGAAGAAGACACGACACGTGCCAAGGCGTGACGCACGTGCCACACGTGAGTGTCTCTTCTGACGGAGGTTTCACCTTGCACCGCATACATACACCGTCTCCGTCGCAAGGAAACTGAACTTCAGGCGCCATTGTTGAAACGAGTGAGAGAAAATGGAGTTTTTGAGATTTGTGAGAGAATTGGGGGAATAAGTAGAGGAAGGGGAAAAATGAAGAGGCGGGTTTTGAAATATTTTGGGGAAGAAGAAAAGAGAGCGTCTTTAAAATTTTCAAAACGAATTAAAAAGAAAAAACTCTAAAAATGAAAAAAATCTCACAGTTTCGATAAGATCGTGACAGAATGGTAATTAATTGTTTTATTTTCCTTAATTGTTTTGGGTCAATATTTTATTATTTATTCTGGTCTTTTTTTCTGAAATTTTTTATTGAAAGTTGTAAATGATAAAGATGTGATCTAACAAAAAAAAAAAAAATATGAAATTACTAGTAGGGGTGAGATGTAAAAAAAGAAGAAGCTAGTAGTCGTGGTTTAGTGGAAAATAACTGTTTCTCAAATTGAAATTATATTTGTAAATGTTTTTTTTTTTAATTTATAAAAGTAAAAACTAATATGTATTTTGTTTCTTGAGCTTCAATAACTTGTATGAAATAAGTAATATAGTATGTTGTCAATTATATAAAAGAAAAAAGTGATTAATTTTATGACAATAGTTATATCGCACGTGTATGTATTAAATAAGCAAGAGCCGGTTTTCTAGTGAAAAATGACTATATATAAAAAATAGTTATATGGCAATAGTTATAACTTATATCGCACATGTTAGTTAATAGTAAATTTACCTAATAGCGAAAATTAATTATATATAAAAATTTAATTCTATATATAATTACTAATTAGTTTAGTTATCAAATTTAAAAGAACAGGTTTTATGGCAATAATTATATCGCACGTGTTGGTCAATAGTCAGTATACCTAATATACATGTATGGACATTATGGTATTAGTTATGGATTGATGTTTGATGAAGTCAATAAATTTGAATGTATGAGCAAAACATCTACTCAAGGTTTGAATCTTTATGGGCTTGGATTAAAGAAAAATGGATTTTAATTGAAGTATTTTTAGCCTAACAACAGCAAGAAAATAGAGAATTTTAGTGTACAATTAAGATAGCATTTATTTAAGTGAGTTTCTCTCTCTTCCATGCAGTTTAGAGTTTGAATTTCAATTCCCAAGTTGTGATGCATGTTAGGCTACTTTTGTGAACGTTTTATGTTTTTTTTCTCTATATAATGAGGCTCATTTAATGAATAAAAACAATTTAAGAATTAAGTAAAAATTAGAGAGATTTTCTATATTAATATGTGATATCTTGATATCTTTGGAATTTCATTTCATTGTGTGTGATTCCTTTGAACTAAACTTGTCAAGCAGTCAAAAGTCTTTTCATAGCTTTTATGATGCTATCGATCCACCCATCTATTCATCTTTATCGCATTTATTGAAAGTAACTTCAGTCTAGCAATTGATTCTCTATCAACTTTATCTTCTATCCACTTGAATCTGTTGAAAGTGACCTCAGTCCATCAATAACTTAACCATCAACCAACCTTAGGATAATAAGATCTAAACACTCTTAGTTCCTGCATTAATGTTACATATTGATAGAACATTTATACTTAAGATACATCAATTTTTAGATGTTTATGTTGGAGATAAATTTACTTTATCAAATGCTTGTTAATTATAGTGTGACATATGGACTTTGAATCTAAAATAACACATTTAGAAAATTAATTAAAACAATACGCTGTCAAATCATATTCAAAACAATTGTTAATTTTTTTAGCAAGAGCAAAAATTGTAATAAATATAAGTCTATACCATACATGTTAATTAGTGATCATATTATAGTACTTTGTATATTGATAGTACTAGTGGTGGTGGTTTAGTGGAAAATAACAGTTTCTCAAATTTGAATTATATTTGTAGTTGATTTTTTTCTTTTCTTTTTGTTAACAATACATTAAAATTAGTTTCTTTAATTAACAAATGTATACATTTAAAAATAATATGTTTTTTGACTTTTTGAACTTCAATAATTATTAAAAATAGTTAATAATACGCCGTCAAATCATATTAAAAAAAAAGTAATTAATTTTATGGCAATAATTATATCACACGTGTTGGTCAACCGTTGTTTTACTTAACAAAAATTTATAGTACTAGTTATGGATATATGTTATATAATGACAAATATGTAATGTTTATATAGCGAATCTATAAGTAAATTTATATAAACATTTATCTGTATATAGCGAATCTATAAGTAAATTTTTCAGATAAAATTGACGATTGACTAACACATATGATATAATAATTTAATTTTTTTAATATCACCATAAAATCAATTAATTTTAAATATAATTTGACGACGTACTATTAACTATTTCATAGTATAAATTATTTGAAGTTTAAGTAGCAAAATACATTTGTTTTAAAACGTATAATACATTTATAAATTTCAACAAAACAATTGCAAATATAATACAAAATTAATATGCAGCTATTTTCACAAAAATCACCACCTCAAGTTTAATAATTTATCTTAGTTTTTGTTTTTTTCTTAAATCACGTCTTTATCATTTACATATAAATTAATAAATATGACAAAGATGGTAAATAAAAAATGTTGACCCAAAAGTAACTTTTAAGGAAAACTAGGGCGAAACCCGCGCTACGCTGCGGGTATTTTTTTGAATGTAGTTTTTTTAATTGATATGTATCTTATGCATCAAATATTAACTGAATTTTCATATCAGTATGTTTTTTATTACTTTTTTCATAAAACTATTGTATAAGATTAATCTTTAACAATAATGATTGAAACGAAAGTAGAGTTTCTATGTCTATGAATACAATTGCTTTAGTAGCATTTTATATAAGTAATTGGTGGATTTAGGTTGATGAACTAATCCCAAGTCCAATTTTATAATATCAAGTCAGTAATAATCCAAAGCACCTTTTCGTCAAACCCACAATCTGTAAAACGGTTAGCACGATACTGATTTGGATTTAATTTAATTTAAGTCTCTTGGTTTAGTTGGTTTAGAGGGTCGGTTCCATAATTAAGAAAAGTAGCGTTGGAAAACCAAATTTTCTTTCATGGTCTACTATTACCAAACTGCCGCACGAATGATCGTTTCGTCGGAGATCTACTCACACGTCTGCTACCACCACCGCTATAGTGAATATGCTTGATTGATTCATTTAGAGGAGAGATTTACAACTTATATAGGCTGTACACAAGGGTTTAACTACTAAGTAATTACAATTAAATCCTTAATCTCTATTACTCCTTACACACCCCCTCAAGATGGAGCCAAGGCTTTGACTCCAATCTTGCTATTGAGTTCTTGAAACCGTGCTCGAGGTAGCGGCTTAGTCAGCGCATCCGCCAATTGATCTTTGGTGGAGACATGTGAGACTCTTAGCGCACCGGATTGGATATTCCCGCGAACAAAATGATAGTCAAGAGCTACGTGTTTCATCCGCGAGTGAAATATTGGATTGGCACAAAGATAGGTTGCTCCCATATTGTCACAATAGATCACCGGTGACGTAGGCAAGCAAACTCCCATCTCAGTTAATAGTGAACAGATCCAACGTAGTTCAGATGCGGCGTTTGCAACAGCACGATATTCAGCTTCCGTAGAAGAGCGAGAGACACTCCTTTGTTTCTTTGAAGACCAAGCAATTGGACTGCCTCCAAAGTACACAATGTATGCATTTGTAGACAAGTAATCATCGTTATCACGGGCCCAATCGGCACCATTTCCTCTTTCTCTGCTTCCCGATCAATAACTCTTCTTATTATCCCTTTCTCTGCTCGGAGTTCGTCTTCTCTGTTCTCTAGGCGAAACCATTCAGTTTCTCGACTCCACGGTGATGATTCCGGTGAGTCTGCATCTCCGCCTCTTCCTCCTCTGCATCTCCGCTATCTCGTTCTGGTCTAAATCAAAGATTTTTTATCTGATTTCGATTTCTCAGCCACTGGAGAATCTTTATCTGATTCATTCTCATTTTCAAGATTTTGGTGTGATATGTTTGTGAAGCAATGTACAATAGTTAATCCAAAGTATTAGATATGATGTGATTTGGTTAAACATTGCTATGGTATGTTACCATTGAGGTTCTTTGAGGGAGAATAATCGTACAAATGGTTTTTCTAAAATCTGATACTCATTTCCGTATGAAGTTCGGAGACTGATTGCTAATAAACTCAAATAAGTTTCACTTTGGAAAAAAACATTTATAAGTGGTCTATATATGTATTAGTATTACTACAATGCAAACAAATGAACAATCGAAAGAAAATAACTAAAACTCATTATAACTATTCCCAAAAAAAAAAAAAAGCTCTTAAAATCTAAATTCAACCATGAAGCAACTTACAACTACTCACTTCCAAGGAAGAAGATTTTACTACTTAATATTGGCATCGTAAGGTCAAACCATCCACTCATATTAAAATGCCCTATCCATAAAAAGGAATCTAATTCCCACCTAACAAAGTGATATAAGATCAATCGATCCCTGATTCAAGCAACATGTCAGAAGTTACACTAAAAAAAATATCAGGCACACAGAGTTGTGTTTAGATAAAACAAACCCAAATCCTCTCCTGAAGCAACGCTTCCAAACTTAACATCATGTCACCCATAGTAACGATATCAAAACAAGCTAAAGAACCCAAATTTAAGCACAAAAAGTAATTTCAATGAATAACTCAATTTCTTCTATATACTTTACTCATACAATCACACAAACTTCAAATTACAAGTCCGTTAATTTACACTAAAATTCTCGTTTCTTCTCAAATTAGAAGACAGCCAAAATCATAAACCAAAATCAAATGTTAGATATAAGACTTTGCGCCACGAGATTTCAGGAGCTTGTAATAACCAGCATGATGACCTAAATCCGCCGAGACCTCGAGGTGTGGTGAGAGAAATCGCAATTGAGCTTCCAAAAAGCTATTGATAGCTACAGTTGAAATCCGATGATTCATCGATTAGAACGCCAAACCCAGAAGCCTATTTTAACAAAACAAAGAGAAACCATGTTTGGGGTTTGTGGTTATTAACCAAATATTTAAAAAGCCCAAAAATTAAAAAGATCAA